TTTGATGGAGGTTAAATGCCAATGACCTGAGCACTGTGCGATGTTAGGGCACGTTAAAGAAAACTAGATGATCGAAATGGCCGGAGCATTCCACTACAGCGTCCCTCAGAATCATATCGGAGGTTTAGAATGCTAACTCTCAACAATTATTCAAAATGAAATGCCCGTTATGGCACCAGGCTAATGCTGTTCAGAAGGTCATACACACAAAAAAAAGGCATTGAAGGCGTTACATTTGTTTTACTGGTGGAACACCGCGCAATTATTTGATAAACAATTGTATCGGGCCAGTTTGTAAGGATTCATCTTGCTAGGAAGCGCAGCCACTATTACAAAGAACACACAACGCAAGCGCTTATGTTGTGTGTTCTTTGTAATAGTGGCTGCGCTTCCTCGCAAGATGCAATTATTTGAGTACTGGGCGTGAACGCAGTGTTTCTGCTAAGTGCGTCTACTAAAGAAACGTGTTGTCGAATTGCATAGCACCAAATGAATGCTTAATTGTCAAAAACTTGGAGAAAAGCATTTGCACACACATTCAATTTTTTCAAAAATTTCACGAGTATAAATGTCGTAAATAGTGCAACTGTTATGTGAAAATGTTCAAGTTTAGCCTCGCTTTCTTAAGAGTTGAATAACCAGATATGTCAGGGCAGTTACAAATAGCGAAAGTTCAGCAGACACCACGTGTAACCTGGGAAATCCATGAAAGGTGGCTGTGCTTTAAATTGTTTATTCAGAGAAACGTCACAAAGAGGCGCTAAAGATAGGTATACGAATGCACTCACTGACATACGTTAAACAGCCGCGTGGGTTCTGTATAACCAGTTGTTTATAGTTGCGTTACAATATCAGCAGCAGCATGAACATAAGGAACGACAGAAATGTTACGCTGATGTGAAGCGCTGGCGCTTCATACAAGCTATCAGAGGTTCATATTTGTGATGTGACGCGCCGATATAAAGTGGGGATGGCAGCCCTGGACACTGCTACATAAATCAACTTCAGTGGTTGGCATCTAACTACAATTGAGATTAATCATACGTGATGGGCTTATTATATATAGTGCATATCTCATGCTTATGAAATTGGATAGCCAGCTCTGCAACCATAATTGACGCTTCACGAACATTAAGGTCTACTTAAAAAGTTGTTCCGAAACCTGGCGTGGATCTGTTGTAGAACACTTGGTTGCCACGCAGAATGCTGTGGTTCGATTCGGGCTAGGACCATGACATTTATTCTTTGCATTCGTTGGGTGATCGCTGACGATGTCAGCGTTTTCTGAACGCTCACGCGCTAAAATTTCCCATGACTTTTCTCGCCGTTTCTGGGGAGATATAAACTGTCAGTCACCCGTGGCAGAAACCACCATACCTGTGGCAAATACTCGCGCCCGCTGGTTTGGCCAAACATCTGGCGGAAAGGGTTCAATGTGGTACGCGACGAGATTGGGACTTTATTCGAGCCATGACGAGCGAGTAATATTCGTCAAATCATCTTACCGCATCCTACCCTGCCCTATTAGTTTTGGTTCACTCCAAGTTAAGGGAGTAATCATGAGAGGAGCACCCAGACGTGGATGCATGGACGGACGGACGGATGGACGGACGGACGGGTGGGTGTTCTAAGTCCTCGCAGTAAGCTAAGAAATACTTCGCGTACAATAATAGTATTTGCGATTTAACATTCAAAAAGATCGACATCAATATGAGCTCCAGAAATTCCGACCATATCGTGTTTTTTTTAACAAGCACTGACGATGCACGGGCCTTTACTCTTTCGCCTACATAGATATGTGACCACCGCGACTGGAGTCGAACCCGCAACCTTCGGGTCAGGAGACGAGCACCTTAACTATTGTTTTGTTATGGCGGACTGGTCGCAAGTAGCATGAAGGAAAACTAATTTTTAATTCGAAGTCCATAAAGAGGGCTAGAGTATTGCCAGAAACAGTTTTGTGATGTAACTACGAACTACTGAATATAATGAAAAGCCGTGTTTCAAAGGTTTAATCGAACGGCTAGACTCTCTCATCAGCGAATACATCCGCGCAAATGCTAAATAGGAGCTCTGCTGAAGCACTATTATTATACCGTTAGGACGAGCTGGTGAACATGCAGAAAGTTGGGCTCAAGGGAGGGAAGGTACCGAGAGAGTCGCTCATCCTGAGTCGGCGATTATGTTCAGAAGGCATATTCTGAAGAAGTGATCCTTCTATGTGCGCTAGATCAGAACGATTCTTGATGTCCCTCCTCACTGAAGCGTAGGCAGCTGCGATCTCCAAGCCCGACACATTTTTTTTTTCCCGCGTGAACTTTTCATCCAGGCTAGGCGGGCGGTCTTGGACAAAGTATTCCTACAATAAAAGACCCTCCCCACCTTCCTAAAGTAGTGATTATTCGATGAAGATTTCTCTCTGCCTCTCTCTTTCTCTATCTCTCCACAATTTTTCTGTCGGCACGTGAGCATGCAGATAAATTATGAAGAGCCTTTCGAGTTGGATTACTTGTTGAGCTTCGACTATTTCGTCCAACGTGTTGTGGACTCCCAAAGGGAGCCTTCTTTTGCTGCTGGTGTATTAGGGGGAGTCCTAGGACTAGTGAATTATTGCATCTAATGAATTAGTGCATCTGTTTTGTCCATTTCCTCCCTGTTCTACTAGACAAAGGCCGCTGTGATCATGGTATGGCTTTTCGTAAAGGCTTGAACCATAGGTACAATGCTTCTTTCATTCATTACTTCTTTTCGTTGGTGACCCTTTGAATTAAGCTAATCGCGGACATGACTTCACTGTGGAGGCGTGGCATCGCTACCCGATCCATTATTTCTTGCCCTTGTGCTTGAAGCGAGAACATCTGCAAAACGCGAGTGTAACTGCTGTCGCGTGCCATGACACGAGTATTCAAATCACGCATAAAGACAACACCCCCCCTTGATTTGCGGCCGACGAAGTCGGAGTGCTCACTTAGAGCATGCTAAATCACACAGGAAGATGTGCACAGCTTCACGCGTGAGTGCTTCTTTGTCATAAATAATGACTTTCCCCTTAAGATACGTAGAAACTAAAGTCAAATATTCAAAGGGAAGTGCTTGTGAAACGTGCGACACGTGGCTGCTTATATTCAACCGTGTTTACGAAGACATCTCGAGAAATGACCTTTAGCGAACAGAACGAAAGGCTCACTTGGTCTTTGAGATTCAAAATACGCACACCTATGTACACATAAAGACTAAAAAGGTTATCACATAATAAAGGGTTATAATAGAGAACCGAACGAGCATACTTATGAACTGCATTGTATTGAAGAAACACTTGGATTTCATTTTTTATCTTTTATCGTTGATTCTAATAGCCCCTTTTAAATATTAAAACCACTTCCACGGCCCCGCCGCGGTGGTCCAGCGGCTAAGGTACTCTGCGGCTGACCCACAGGTCGCGGGATTGAATACCGGCTGCGGCGGCTGCATTTCCGATGGAGGCGGAAATGCTGTAGGCCCGCGTGCTCAGATTGGGGTGCACGTTAAAGAACCCCACGTGATCGAAATTTCCGGAGCTCTCCACTACAGCGTCTCTCATAATCATATGTTTGTTTTGGGATGTTAAACCGCACATATAAATCAAAGCATATCAATGAAAAAAACGACTTCCGTGCCTGATAAACCTTTACAAACCGTGGAGCCGACAAGAAAGCGAACCACCTTGCAAACGATGATTAATTTCTCTGTCTTTTTTCATCTTTATCTATTTCCACATGTTCTCCTTCTTTCTTTCGTTTTTCTCTCTTTATTCATCTCTGTTATATTGCTCTTCTCTTTCTGGCCCTCCACATCACTCTTTTATCTCTCAACTTTACTTTTCTTTCCCACCCTTTGCTTTATTATGTTAAGCATGACTATATGCTTTGGTTTAGCCTCTCGCGTAATCTTTTTGTTCCTGCTTTCCACTTCCTCGCGCTCAGTTCTCTTCCTCCTGCCCTTTCTAAACGATGATATATGAAGCCAATTGTCATGCCTTACTCTCTGCCCTCTTTCTTTTCTGTCTCCTATACTTCAAGTCACTCGTCTTCACTCTCACTTCTCTTTCCCGCCCCGTTGATACACGGATGGCCGTGCTATGCTAGGCAAATACCCCCTTCTTGTAGTGCCTAAACTATGCTAGAGAAGATAATAACATGCTTTAGCCTATATCCTCTTCTTTCTGTCCATTTTTCCCCTCGTTATATTTCCCACCCCGTTGCTTTTAGCCAAGCTCGGATTGGCGGTCCATACACGTGGGACTAGCCGGTTGGCGCAGGGTCTCCCCTGCGTTCTTTCGGGACCAAAATAAAGTTTGAATCATCATCATAATCGTCATCATAGTAAGCTATGCATCGCTATGCTATGCTGGGATATGCTTGGCAGCCTCGCCGCGGTGGTCTAGCGGCTAATGTACTCGGCGACTGCTCCACAGGTCGCGGTATCGAATCCCGGCTGCGGCAGCTACATTTCCGATGGAGGCGGCAACGTTGTAGGCCCGTGTGCTTAGATTTGGGTGCACGTTAAAGAACTCCAGGTTGTCGTAATTTCCGGAGCCCTCCACTACGGTGTCTCTCATAATTATATGGTGGTTTTGGGACTTTAAACCCCTCATATCTATCTATCTGTTTGTTTGTTTGTTTGTTTGTTTGTTTGCAATATCTTGCAAAAATGCGACGTTCAAACTTTAATACACTCTTCTCTGTTTCGAATGCTGGCGGCGCCGCTGCCGTGCTACCTCGGCTGATCTATAATCCTGGTTTGGAGGAACGACAGTCACGTTCCTGTCTTCACTTCCGAGAAGACAGGGCCTCTGGTTCTCCCTCGGGGGCGCCCTACGTTCTGGCCACAAATTTGCCGGAGTTTTTAATAATGTTATTGCCACCACCATCACTACCATTCGATTACTGGCCCATAATCGTAGTGGGTTTGTGCCACTTTTAAAATCCTCTTCGTTGCGCTGCAGTTTTCACATTTGTGCCATGGCAGCTACAGTCATACCGGAGATGGAATATTGCTTTCAGGAAAGTCAAGAACACCGCTGTATGTGCACGCCGTTGCCACCACCTCACTCAACATGCCAGGCGCATTCACACGAAGAAAGCAATGGTCAATGGTTGCCTTGCGATCCCATCTACTACTCGCGGGACTGCCAGCACCAGGTCGAGATGTTGCCTTTTGAGACAATCGCGGCTCAACAGGCTCCTTTTCCGGGCTTTTTCGTCGTGGAGGCAGTGGCCCCCGCAGAAGACGACATGGGGGTAACGAACCAGCCATCAATCACTCTTTCGTTCGATGATAAAAATGATCAGATCGGAAGTTGGACGAATCGGGAGCGGAAGGGCAAAGCGGTAACGACGATTCATTTCTCCGAAAGCGGTAGCAGTAGCAGCCAGTCGGTAGCTGCTAAGGCCAGGGGCAGGCGCCTTGTCCGGCGGCTGGGCTCTACGGCGCCCAGCATCAGCAGCCTGGCTCCGAACTGGATGCCAGAGGAACTCAAGCGCTACTTTCGCAAATACAGCCGCAAGGGCCACAGTGGCAGCCCGCGCCATTCACCTGCCAGACCAGGGAGGTCGTCAGCGAGCCGCAAGCGCAAGAAAGCCACGTCGCCAGAGCGCCCACACTCGAGCGTCGCGACTCACCACGCGTTTCTGGCTTTCCTGGTCGTCGCGGTGACAATGCTTCTGGTGGGCGTCAGCGCAGACCTGTACGCAACCTTGTCGCGAGGGGATGGTCGACATCCTTTCCGTAGGACTCCCGCTCCGCTAGAGCCTTTTCAGAAAAACGTGTATGCTGAGGCGACGTTGTCGGCAGCACGGCACAGAAACGACGAGGCCCCTAGTTTCGTCAAGGACCGCCAGGCACTCGCGAAATACACGGCTCGACCTGCTCAGCGTGCTATGAAAAGCACGCTACGTTCCCCGTTTCATATCACCGAGAGTAGCGCTGAAGAAACAACTCAAGAGATAGGTGTCAGTTCCGCCAGCGACAATGAAGAGGGTGAAGTTACAGGATCTGAAGGTAACGAGGACATGAAGGCTGCTGCTTCGAACGAAACACGCGTAAGTGCATTTGCAACTTTCCACTGGTATAATAAGGCATCGATTAAAAGCGATCACGAAGGTTATCCACGTGCCTATCACGCGTTTAACTCGATTTGAAGGTGCGGTTTGTCTGCCGCAGTGGCCCAATTATAACGTCTTGCTCGGCGCTGCTCCAAAAGTAGCAGGCTTGATCCCGGCCTCGATGGTTATTCAAATCTTGGGAGCCCTCCGCTACATTTGTCTAGAAATCTTACTATGCTTTTGGCACGCGAAACCTCACAATTACCGAATATTAGCTATATATATATATTTTCGTGCGATTACCGTGGTATAGCTTGCCAGGTAAGGTGTCGCTCCGCAATGCTCGAGGGCGCGGTTTCAATTCCTGGCCATGGCGGCCGCACTTCGATGGGACGAAATATAAGAACACCTGTGCGTCTGAATTAAGGTGCCCGTAAATGAACCCCTGGGTGTCGCAATTATCGGGAGGCCCCCACCACGGCACGCTTCGCAGTCACATAATCGTTTTCGTAATCAAAACTCTACTTATTAGTAATCACTATTATAGATGATATATGCCAAGCACGGTTGAATGTACATGGTGTACGTGGAGTACTCCTTTCTCATGTACTTGGGCTCGCCTATAGAAGAGGAGACTTAAGACAGCAGAAACACCTGTAGCACTGATAATGGATACCGCTGTTTGGTTTGAAACAGTACTAGTTCGAATCTGTACTGGTTCGCATAAACACCAAGACATATCACTGAAAACTCCTCATATTGTCTTTTACAGACACGGTCACCTTGCGACGCCTTCGCCTTCACCTTCTGCGAAAGTCCGCGCAACGAATTCTTTTACAGGCGCTCCTTAAATGCTTGCGTGGCGGTGGCCACTGGCACGGTCGGCCTTTGCATCAGCGGCCGTAACCGGTTCACTTCCAAGAGGAGCTGCCAACAGACATGCGTCGATGCAGAGAGCAGCCCCGAGCACTGCCTCGTCGATGCGGTATTCAGGAAATGCGAAAAGTAAGGAGATCGTTTAAAATCTGGCCTTACATGGCCCCTAAACAATATTCGATAAATTAGTAACATTTCAAGCTAACGTGCGCATCAAGTTCAGAGAGCCGTCACGATCAACAAACGTGGCAGTGCTACGACCGCGGCTGCCTCATTAATTCAAAAAAAAAGTGCCGCCATATCCACGAAGTGAATGATGATGAGTGGGCGGAGCTCTGGAGGAAAACCTGGTAAACCATGAATCTTCCGTACATTTTGCCTGCTCGATTTTATTACAATGCTCCCCCTAGCGTACGTCGCCGCACTAAATCGAACGATTGCCTTCCACCAATGACACGTGCCATATGTGACATCATTCCTATTTTATAACATCTCGCATCTTTCATCATCAACTACAAGTACCACCGTCTAGTTTATAACATCTTGCATCTTTTCATCATCAGCTACAGGTCCCGCCATCTAGTGAGCACTGAAAGAACTAAACGAGAGGTGGCTACATGCAGGAGACGGTGCCGCTATTTAGTGAACACTGCAAGAACTAAACGAGAGGAGGCGACATGGATGGATGGATGCTATGAGCGTCCCCTTTATAACGGGGTGGTGACAAGTATGCCACCAGGCTCGACAAAAAAAAAAACCCTTTTTCTTTTTTGATGTTGGCCTAATGCCTCTACTTCGATAAATTCTATCTTAATGGAAAAAAAGGTAAATTTTCAGCTTAAGTTCTCTGCCATTTACGGCACACTGTCCATATTTTATTTTTCCAATGTTTATTTTTGTCCTTTCTCTCTAATTTTCTGCCACCAATACTCTAACCGTCTCTTACTTATTTCAATCGCGGGTGTGTTCAGCTTTCCATTGTTGTCCCTAAAACCCAAGGCTTCCTGTAGGCTCGTGCCCAAACGTACACCTGGGTGGATATCTCCACATTCATCGGAGATACGTGAGGCGGTACCGCCATCTAGTGGACACTGCAAGAACTAACCGAGAGGTGGCTACTTACAGGGGATGCACAGCCCACGCCTTAAGGAGCTTCGCCCCTAAAAAATTCCTTCTCACCTCCGGGGTCAGTTCAGTCTCTCAGCGTTCGTGGTGATGGCAACATTTTCGTCTGCTCGTCACCCACAATACCTGTTACTCCGTTCGTAGCTTCGTAGCTACGCGCGCTTGCCGCTCTTCATTCTCGCATGGTGAGGAGGAGCATACGGCCAGGAGGAGAGAAGAAGCAATGAACGTCGCCCTGAGATTGGGCTAAAGGTGATAGCAGCGTCACCACGCTCTAGTGTGGACAGGCAGCCGGCAATGCGCAGAACGTGCGAGCCTGTTGCGTGCGCATCAAGTGCATTAAGTGCAGCGCGTTCGCGATGCTCTCCCGTTGGACTTGCTCTCAAAATCATTGCCTCTCGCGTTTAGATGGGCGCTGCCTTCACGGAGTGTGGTCTCTCTCTAGCGCGTGCGCTTGTCAGATCCGTGATTCGGGAGAACACGAAGGTCACTTCGCTCGCTGCTGCGGCTGCGTTTACGTAAGTAGCACGCTGCTCACACAAAGAAGTAAGAATCGGGACAGTTCTTGGCACGTATCCTTTGTATACTTGTGCGTTCGTTTCGTGTGTCTTTCTGTTTGCGCCCCTTAAGTGTCGACCTGTGTCATTTGTCAGTTCCCACTCGTCCTCTGTATGCTCATTTCGTGCGTGCTTCTGGTTGAGGTGCGCGCTGCAACCTTCCAACTGGTGGACGTTCTTCATGCAACTTTGCCATTTGTTGCTGTAGCATTCATACCTTCGCCCTTGTGGCCAAACAATGCACATTGAACGCTCAACTACCTCTTTGAAGAAAAGCACGTTTCAGTCTCGTGTTATACCGATTCCTAGAAAGTAGGATAAGCCACGTTTATTATTATTATTATTATTATTATTATTATTATTATTATTATAGTAGTAGTAGTAGTAGTAGTAGTAGTAGTAGTAGTAGTAGTAGTAGTAGTAGTAGTAGTAGTAGTAGTAGTAGTAGTAGTATTGGTGTTGTTGTTGAAGGTAATCGCGTGAACAAAACAATGACCTTGGTGCGCAGGCAGGACGTTACAGGCGAGTGGTGGCACTTCGACGGCCATTCGTGCCTCGAGTGGAACTTCACAGCTGGCCTGTGTCCTTCGTACCACAGCGACGTGTTCTCATCACGGCGTGACTGCTGGGTCAATTGCTTGGCCAAGCCCCGCAAGCGGCTCTGTCGGGCGGCCACCCCCGACGTTTGTTACAGCGCACACCTCAGGTTTCCATATTTTGCAGCTGGTGGCTCAGTGGCGCAGTGCCTCAAGGTGTCATCGCTGAGCTATCCCGGACGCCGCTGCCTGATCGGTACAAACCGGTTTCAAACGATGCGAGCCTGCCAGGAGGCTTGCGTGTCAATCACTCAAAGCGACTCAACACGCGTGCATCGACATGTTCCCGCTCTAGAGTCAAACCTAACTTTGAATAAATATACGCATGGATAGAAAAGAGAACCATGATTTTAGTACTGTATTAATCTGAACACACCAGGTGGCCGTCGGGACGGTCTAGTGGCTAAGTTTACATGGGCACGCTAACCTTCGTTACGATGATACTCCGTTAACAGGAGAAAACTAGTCAGTGCCAACTGCATTTGGCACTTGTTACAGGTAAAAGGTTGTCCTTGGCTTTGGTATACGAAGCAGCTCATGTGACACTCAGTTTTAAGATTAAGGATACAAACGTTTAGCTGGTTTTTATAAGTATATATAATAATAATCAGCCCAAACGCAAGACAGCCGACAAGCGAGAGGACGTACACGCAGCTCTGCGCTGCGTCTAAGTCCGCAATGCAGCATTGGCTCTTACAATGCAGCTAGTAGGAGTAATTCAGCTGCTTGAAAGAACACGTCTTGCTAAACACCGTAATCTGTGATCAAGGGTCCCTTGCTCCCAATGAGCTACTAAGCTAATTTTTTTCTTGGGCAGTGGTGTGAGTATTCCCGTGGCCCTGGTACCATCTAATGGGGATTCCATTCGATGAAAAATAAAAAAAAGCATTGAGGAAGAGCTCCGGAAGGTAACTGAATACACTACCAGTTGTTCACAGAGGTGTGACAGTTCAGTCGTGGAGGAATTTTTTTGCGGTTCGCTAGACCAGGCCTGTGCATAAGATCTTCTCAAACGCACTTATGCATCTTTATACCAGTGAGCTGTTTTACACCTCCACATTTCGCATGTGTCAAAGGGTTAGTTCCTGAGGTGGAATCGAGCCTAATTTCCCCAGAGATTTTAGAAATGTTTTCCGTAGCAGGAACCATATCAGTGTTCTGGTGCTCGCGTAGCATCGACAACAGGAAGATCCCGACTGAGTCGGTAATGGCTACGCTTGCTGGTACAACTCGACCAAGCGAAATCAAGGTGTGGGCGCTTATATACCGGGTTGAATAGATAACTCCTCATCTAATGTGGTGCGCTAAATGCTGGCGCTACGCACATTGTATAAAGAGGTGCATATCAGTGGTCCACTGTCAGATGTGTGCAGGACAACATAACGCTAATGAATGGTACAACACATGAAAGGCATTGTTGTCTGCGCAATCATTCTCGCGCAGCTGACATTAACTGTCCTGCAAAGGCTCAAGAGATGCAAATGGTGGAAATAGTTGAGCGAAGAAGATGCTCTAGTCGAGAAGCTAGAGTCATCACTGCAGAGAGGTCTCCGATATACACCTGTGCTACGAGTAGTCTCAATGAGGTGACAGAATAATAGCATCAACTATTTATTTCTTTATTTAGAAAATACTGCAGGCTAAGAATAGCCCAGGCAGGAGTGGGGGTGGCACAGTATGAGAATATGACGAAAAAAAGCAACAATACAGGAGGCACGTGGGAAAGTATCCAGCTAATTGAAAGGTCAATGGCGAGGGCAACAGGAAATCTTTTCCTAACCTTAACAGAATCGTTGGCACAAATAATGAACGCGCAGATGACACAATTCTTCAGGGCCTTATACAACGGTTATGACTTCTCCGTCATACTCGCCACCTAAGGAGCTTAATGCGCGTTCGATAGAGTTAGATTCAACGGTAACTATACCCGCAAGAATATCTGTCGATGAGGATGTCTGTTCACCAAAAGCAGGTTCGTCTAACATGAATCGTAAGCTAATAGTACCAGTAGAGCAGGACTTGGATTGAAGTCTTGATTCATGTTCCCATAAATTGTAAACGAATGCAGAATCTAGAAATATGAAACGGCGTGCGTCGGTTGTAGCTCAGGGTTTTCTATTGAGTCACAAGGTCAAGACACAAGAAATGCCAGAAGTAAAGCGCTTCAAGAAATGAGTTTTTGAAAGATAGTATCTTGGAAAAGGCAGTGAATACTGCTGGTATTTTGTCAAAATAGGTGGATTATAAATAATGCAGTGGAACTGCTACTGATTTATCTTACCTTTGTAATCAATATTTTCCAGTTGTAGTTATTTTTCAAGAAACTTGCCTTTCACAAGAAAAGTGTTTTTATATTAGAAATTACCGCATGTTTAGGTTAGACTTGCCCTCTAGGAGTGGTGGCTTAGCCGTATTTATTACTTTAAAAATTGCTCATCAAGTTGAAATTGCATGTCAAGTAAGGAATTTAGACAGCCAAATTTCAGCGTTGGAGCTGCCTACCTTTTTTGTTAGTGAATGCTTATTTTCCAATGGGTGTTCAAGACAATACTGTGCTTAATTCTGTACTATTATCTTCTAAGAAACAAATAGTATTGGGGGATGACTATAATCCATACGATGCATCATGGAGTTTCAGAACCGATACGAGTGAAAAGATCTTGTGGGATCGGCTTTCGAAGTATAATATAACATGAATTAGCACACGAACACCCACTATTGTTGTTTTCTTTTATTTGTGGTGCAAGTTTCGAGTTGCTTGTCGTTCTTCACTTGGCCTGAGTGTTTGTTACCATAGCATTAATTTCTTCGTCTTTGTGACGAAACATTGCACACTAATAGCTAAACTACCATTGTGAAGACACTCGTTTCCCTTTCATGTTATACGAATTCTATGAGCGAGTGATTAGCTACTTTTTTTTAGAAACTTTCCTTGTGGGATCTATAACGTAAGAAGATTCTACCACCAGCACGAGCAGCGTGTCTGCTTGGAGGAAGAAGATGAAGAAGTAGCAGCTGTGAGGGCCGTGCCCTCGTGGCCGCCAGCGCTTCATCCTTTCAGCTGGATTCTATTCTCGCGCTGTTCGGAAGCAGGCGCTGCTCGCTCGCTGGCCTCTACCAAGCACGAAGACCTCGGCACTTGCGGGTGAGCCAGCTTGTAGATGTAACCACAGCTATCACTGTGTTAGCGACCTTGCTTGTCTTTCAAGAAGTCCATCTGGCTTGCAAGGCGACTACTTCCCCTTTGTGGTTGTTTTGTGTGTCCAGAGTATTTTCGACGTAAGCCTAAACGGGAGGATCAGCGCAACGAGGCTATATCTTTTCGCAGTCAATGTTCGCGAGGTCTAATCTGTACTAAGTCTGTAACACGCTATGTCGCCGTACTTATTGCCGTTCGAGTGCCGACTCTGGCGCAACGAGGTTATATCCTTTTGCAGTCAATGTTTGCGAGGTCTTTACTAAGTCAGTAACACGCTATGTCGCCGTACTTAATGCCGTTTGAGTGCCGACTCCGGCCTTAGAAGAGGCAAAGGTTTAACAAAAGGCAGGAAGACATCTGTTCGCCAGACCCAAGGAGTGTGAGGCGCGAACCCAACAGTGGTGGCTGCTCTTCTGTCCAGAGTGTCACAAGCTGTTAAATCCTCAACCTTTCATGGGCTACTATGCTATTCCACGGCCGATAATTGTGACTGGTTCGATTCCCAGCCGCTTCAGCTGCGTTCTCATATTAAAGCGATTGAAGGCACTATTCGCGGTGTTGTATGTGTGCATTATACGTTAACTGGTTAAGATTTTTCATGTTGTTTTTCCATACCTCTGGTAAACCGAAAGTTAGCTTTCGACGTTAAAAGAAGGAACCTGTGTTAACTTTTTTTTTTTTAAGTAAGCCACCTCAGATCCCGTTTTAGGGTAACCGTTTATACCCAAGTTGAAATGATCGATCACCTTTTCGTCATTGATTCTGTTCGGCCAGTGAATGGTGAACGTGTGCTTGTGATTGTAGTCGATTTATCTTTAACTCGTAGAATTTACTCGAGAGTGGAGTTGCCCGACAACCGACGTCGCCGCCATAATGGGCGTCTTGTGTACACACCTTGGGCTGCTCGTGTGGAAGTGCTACGTGATCGTGCTGAAACGTCACTGGGTCGCCTTCGCGATGGAGCTATTGGCGCCCGCCGCGGTGTCCCTGACGCTTGTCTTCGCCCGCCAGAATATGGAGTACGCGCACGTGCGAAACGTGACGCACTTCGAGCCGTTCTCCTTGCAAAGGCTACCGCCACGATTCCACGTGCCACCACCCAGTGCGTCTCGCTGGTTGCTGCTCTACGCGCCGGAAACCAATGCCACCAGAGCTGTTCTCGAGGCACTGGCCGAAAACTCAAACCCTCCCCTCGCTGGTGAGGCGCACAGCTGTCTCAAAATATAGCTCGCAAGTGCACGCATGTTACTCAAGCGTTTTCAATTGTAATTGTATAACTGATGCACTTAGTATTTCCGCTCTCATCCAGCGCAAGGATTCGAGACTGAAGAGGCTATGGTTGACCACTACACGGCTGCCATGGCACACCGGGACTCGATCCTTGGAGGCGTCGTGTTTGTAGGCCTCGGTCCGAATGCCAGTGACACTTTGCCTTTGGACATACATTTCAAAGCAAGTATCGCAAGCTCACAGCACCGTATTAGAGCTGACTTTGATGATAACTGGATCCCTTCCTACTCGCCAAATTGAAAAGCTCTCCTATCAGAACTGCCACGTAGGTTTTGAATCTCTGCAGATCCGACTTAAGGCAGCTCCCCGTATGAAGCTGTCGCAGGCGGAGCCGTACCAGTCATGGAGCACCGATAGCAACTTTCCTATGCTGCCCTTGTTCTCTCCACGTCATCCTGAGACGAAGTTTGATGGTAGTCCAGGTACCTGCGCAGGTTCTCATGTCATTCGCCCTAGGTACTCTTGCATGATGTGACGACTGCTTGTGAACGTGAGAAATGTGTACTTATTCGGTGTCACTTGAGATTGATTGTAGTTTAAGTTTTTCTGAGGATCGAACGGAAGGAAGGGCAGCACTACCACGCCCTTTTAATTACCAACATTTCTCTCTGAAGATTAGGTTGGAGAGGGAGAGCAAGCACGTGGGACAGGGAGGGTATGTCTAGGCGAGTGTTTGGGGTGTCCCGCGTCGTTTTACCCCAGCTGCTTTACGCTGAACCAGTGTCGGCAGATTGAAAGAGGACTGGGAAAACGGGGTCATGTACTCGCTGGTCAACCTCATGGTACAGCTAGCCTTTATGCGAACACCAATGTCGACCATTTCAGTAAGATGCTTAGCTGACAGCACGATCTATGTATACGCATTCTGTTTGTGTTCGTTTGCTGAAAGAAAACACTTCTGGTTGAAATATGCAGTTCCACTTTGCCCCATATAACTCTATGGCTATTTGTATGTTTCTGAACATAACATAGTAATTACATTAATGAGAATTAACGGACAACAGTGCCAAGGTGTGCCATTAGTAGGGGTGTCATTAGTCGTAAATGTAATGTAAATGGGGCCAAACCTGCGACCTTGGAATAACGCTTCCGATGCTCACCAGCTGAGCTACCATGGCGGCCATCACTGTGTACTTCGTCTTCCATGTGATTGTGTTTATGAATGAGGAAAAAAAAGGTGCAAAAGAAGACAAATCACAATCGAAGGAACGGAACACGGAGAACGAGTACTCGTCCTGTGTTTTTTCGCTTGCGCTCCGTGTTTTTTCACATTT